GCAGGGTATCAAATATTCCCTCAACGCGTGTGTCAACAGTCCGGTGTCTGTCATTTATTTCAATGAAAACAATCAGCACTGCTCAGGTCCAGGGCCGTTCCTCTGGGCTCATTAATCGGCTGGCAATATGTCAATGTCTCCTCTGCCTCGTACTATACTATATATGTATATTGGCTATATACCATACCTACCATCCATCCATCCAGTCCGATTTGCGCCACTCGATTCTCTTTTCGGTTCTCGTTGTGGTTGATGATGATGATGACGGGGTTGGTCGCCGGCAATAAACCTAAACCCATTTTCCATTAGCCATTTCACAGTTGCATATGACCGTTTGCAGCGCGAATTATAGTGGGTAACTGTAAAAAAATTGGTAGTGTGGAAAGGGTTTCACCGATCGGGGAATACCTTTCCGAAATTTTCTAGAAATAAAAACGGTAGAAAATAAGCTATTTTGGATTTAATAACACATTCTGGTTTAATTTTAATTCTCATAAATAATTTAATGCATCTTCATATTTATATGTTGAAATTCTTTAACTACAGATCTTAAATAATACAATAAATAGTTTCATTCAGTATGCGGACTCTAACTTCGCTGAATTTCTTTACAGTTTCCCACAAAATGCACAACTTTGGTACCAGGAAAACTATACCCCCTCCACAAAGAGTATTTCCACATACCGAACTCCCCTACCTGATTGTTTTATACCTCACACCCCGCCTCCGTCTATCCCTCTACGAGTCGGCATTACTTCTGATTTACCCCTCGAAATCCCCTCCCAAATCGCCGGCGACTATCTCTTTGCATCTGCGTTGAAGCGCGAAAATTGCAAACCAATGTTGTTTTAGAAATGTGCAATAATTTGTAGTCAATTTTATGTGTCTACCGTCGAATCGGTTGGTTCAGCTCCGCTTGTTTCGGTAACCCCTGCCCATTTCCCCCGTCCCCTGCCTCATGTACCCCCGCCACTGGTTACTTCACTGCCCACAGGGTAGACGGGCGGGCAATTTATGGCTGGTAAATTAGCAAGAAATGGAAATTAAGAAAAATGTTGCTTTTATTGCAAACAGTTGTAGTCGTCTTCCAATAAAAGCATATTTATTTATACATAGCCCCGGAGATCGGGGACCAGAAAGCGAGGCAAAGACCCGGGACTACGACTTTTACGACTCTCGATTCGTTTGGAGTCTAATGAGCCAAGTGGTGGGTGCAATGATTGGGTGGCTACCTAATTGACGGGCCACCGCCGGATGCACATGGGAAAATATTGTACATATTTGTGCCTTCTCGCGTTTTCGGGATCGGGAATGTGTTGATGCGGCGGCCTTCTAATGAGATTGCCCCTTCGATTTGCCTTTTTTCCCTGCCTTGCCCAGCCGTTCCTTTCCCTTTCAGCCTTTGATAGATGGCCCAAAAGTTCAGACTGATGGCTCTGGCATTAGCACTAAGCTTTAGCGGGGGCCAAGCACTTTGATTTGACTTTGGGCCCCGAAAAAGGCGAGGAAAAAAAAGATTGGGAAAATGCGGGAGCGAATAAAAACTTCTAAACTGCAGTCAGGGAAATTTTTGATGGAGGTTTCTGCCAAGAAGCAAACCTGTGTCGAAAAAGGCCTCACAGGAGCGGTTCTCCAGCTCAAGAGGCTTAAAGGGTTTACTAAGTGAATGGTGGAATAATAATTGTGAAGATTTGAAAGATAAGAACTTTGGTAATATCAACAAAAATAAAGCAATAAGTTTTAAAATTAATATTGAATTTTAATCGAATTCAATAACTATAAAACATATCAAGACCTGAAATACGAAATGTTACCCAAGTGCTAATGAGTGCTAGAATATTTATCTAAGCTCCTTTGTCTTGCCAAAAAGAAAAGTTCATCCCTGTTTTTAGCCAAGTTCAAGCCGAAGTTCTGCGAGGGCAATCTATAAATAAAAGGCATCTCTTTTGACACTAAACTGACTTGTAAACCGAAATATTTACGTCGACTTCTTTTCGCTGCGTATGCCAAATGACAGACGGAACCCCCAAAGACCCCGCATCCGAGGCCCCCAAAAATAAAGAAATAAAAAAAAAAAAAAAAAAAAAAAGGAAGCCCCGACCCCAAACGGGCCTCTAAACTTTCCTTAACCGAAAGGAAACAACGTGAACCAAAAAATTCAATTGAAAGTTTGCCTCTTGGATTGGCGGTGTCTGCACTCCTTGCCTTTTCCCACTTCAACTCATCCGTTACTTTGTAACAAATCCCACAGGCAAAATTGATAAAATAAAGGAAAAAAGGGGAGAGATATGTGAAGCTTTGGATGTAGATGGGTGGTATGTGTATATATATAAATATATATGTGTGTATGTATTTGCCAGCGGGTTCGGAGAAAGTAAAAGCAAAGAAAAGTTTTTAATATTTGACGTGTTTTTTCGCAGAGTTTTCTAGGTTTTCGTTTTCTGTTTCTGTTTCGAGCCGAACCGCATCGAATGGGGCGATGGGGGAAACAAAAATATTGAAAAGGGTTTTAGCCCGGTCTTGAACTTCTCCGCTGTTTAGGCCACAGACACATGTGTATCCATCAGATACCAGATGAAATTTCCCCCGCCTTTCAGCGTTCTATAGTAAAGTTGCACATCAAAGGCCGATTGTCGATCCACTGGCCCGCTAATGATTGATTGTAAAATTCGCTAATTTAAGCAATGTGAATTTATGTTTCGGCGGTGGGGGCCCATCAATTTTATTGCGCATTTAATTGATCATAAAAATTATTCATTCATCGGGAGCTGGGAAAGAACTCGTTTCCAGGCAGCCAGGCAGCGGAATCGGCAAAATATTTCGCTGTGGGCTCATTGACTGAATTAAAGGCAGCGAAAATAAACACAAGATAGCCAATAATTCCGTAGATGAGATACGACTGCCGCCATATAGATATCTTTAAAATATGCATGGGAAGATATCGTCGCATCTTTGCCAAGCATAAATACGAAGGCGCTGGCGGAGGGTTTTTCTGTTTAAAATTAATTCAAATGGAGCAGTCGTGGGATGTTGTTCGGTGAGTCTGTGGATGCGTGTGGCGAGGTTTGTCTCAAGAGTTTCCGACAATCCCACAAAGGGTTGACTAATCGTGATCTAAAATCAAATCCAAAGTGCTAATCATATTCATGAAGTTTTGAAAGCATCTGCAATAAAGAAAATTTATTTGGTGCTTGCAAAACTTGTTTAAAAAAGAAACTAAACCAATTTTATTTTCACAAATGTATTCTTTATTTATTGTTTTTAGAATATAACCCTAATTTTCTCTTTTTACATTCGAGTATATGTTTTAAGGTCACTCAGCGTTAACATAAAATCCAAAAAATTCCAGGTCACCAAAGAAATCATTCAACTCTCGAAAAGCAAACAGAACTGGAATTCATGTATCCGTAATTTTAGCAACTTCATCATCCGACAGCGCGAACTTTTTAGACCAACCTCTTTCCATAAATCTCCCCCCTTTTTTCCCGCCGCCTTTCACCCATCTGTCATGGAATGGTCAAGCTCTTTTAGTGTTTATCTTGCAAATTTTTTTCGGACGTAATAGAACACCGCTCTGACATAAACAAAACCAAAGCCAGAGCAAAACCCCATCGCCGTGGAAAAAAGCGGCTGCTGGCATTGGAATCCGCATCCGACGTGAAATCCGTATCAAGAATCCATATCAAATGTCAAGGCGATAGTTTATGGCTTATCAGCGGCAAACAACAAAAAATTATATTAAAATTTCAGCTGGGGGAAACAGAGAGTAAATAAAAAATCGAGACAGTTTTTGGATTATCAATTTTTTGTCATTTATATATTTTTCTGATTCGCTTTTTCTTTTCTGGTTTTTTGTCGCTATAAACTAGAAAACATAAAATTACAAAATAAAATACATATTCATAGGTGTACGGGTAGTTACAATATTTACAACAAGCGGCGAGTAATTAAATGTTATGCATATTTATATATAGTACACATGTAATCAGTCGATTTATGTTTTCAATTTGTTTGATTCGTGTCGCATAATTCGTTTTTCTTTTTTTCAAGTGCATACAGTCCTTTTTTCGTTCTCTTTATGTACAATAGTTTTATCATTTTCATAGAATTAATATGGCTGTATCTCGTAGGCGGGGTTGTGGATTCGGATTCGATTTATTAACTTACAATCTGCACTAACTAATGAGGATAAGTTTACATGTTTAAGCATAGGCTGGTAGGAAATTGGTACTCGTCTTAATAAATTAGGGCTTATTGCTAAAACAAAATATCACATTGATTAAACAAATAAACGTACGATTAACATTTAACTTATTTACATTTAACTCTTTAACGTCTAGGCCAAGTGAATCCTTCTAGAGTGTGTTCATTTACTTTGTTAACTAGTTTTCTGGTTTCTTGCTTTTGGAATGCATTTTCAAATTGGCCAGTCAGTGGAGCTGGAGATTGTCTGCGATAGAGGTGGAAATGGAGGGCGTAGCACACAACCAGGTAGATTCTAATCGGCAAGTCCAAACTAATCTGAACGACTCTGTTTTCATGTTCCCCCTTTTCTGGCCTTGTCGATGTTGGCCAAAACACAACTTTGGGGGCCAAAAACTCGGCACACACGTGCTGATCTCTCTCCTACGCTTTTCCTTCGGTTTTTCAATGGCCACCGGGCTAAACTCGTACTCGTATCTTTTCTTTTGCAGCAAGGTCACAACTGGAAGTGGAAGTTTCTCTCTGGGAAATTCTGACTACTTCTTCGCCTTAATCTCTGACTAGCTGGGGAAAAAAGAAAGCTTTGTTTTCTAATCAAATCTGGTCATAGCATAGCGTGATCTGCGGTAGTGCCTTCATTATAGGGGAATTCTCAATCCTCTGCCTTATCTTCTTGTGCTGGGATACAATTAACAGGCATTAATTGTTAGATGTAAGTTCGTTTTATCCGAGCTAAATCCCCTCACAATTGTTTCCATTCTCACACAATTGTTTCCGTCCCAACATCTTGCTATCTATTTTTCTGCCATTGATTAGCACATGTAATTGTGGCTCAAAAGGAGAAAGAAGCACAAAAAAAAAAAAAAAACGGAAAACCGAAACCAATTTTAACCCGTACAGCAACTGTCTGCAGACGGTCTGGGTTTTCGGTTTTCTAACGTCTAAGGTCTGCTTTTTGTTACCATTTTCCTTTTTGGCCAGACATGAGCTCTGTGATGTTTTGCGTTGCCTATTTTTCCCAACCCGCGCAGTCACAGATACAGATACGAATGCGACTACAGCTGCTGCAGATACAGATACACGGGTGTATCTTCTACACACGTCGAGCTTGTTATAGCAAAATGCAGCAGTTAAGATGAACTAACGACTGAACGTTGCAAACGGGGAAAACGAGGAAAAACAAAAAATAAAAAAAAAAAAACAGAAAATAACAACAACAACAAAAAATGCTGGAAAAACGACAAAATAAAGGAGAAGAAGGAGGAAAAAAAAAGTAAAGCCAAGAGAAATACTTTTGGGCCTGTTGCCTTTCGTTGCTGACTGACTGGTTAGTGTTGGATCTACACAGGGAACAAATGAGATGATTTAAAATGCAAAATAAATAAATTGAAGCTCTTTAAAAGAGCATACAAACATTTGTTTAATTGCTGTTAAGTGAAATTTTATACGCTGCATATTTTAAAGATATGTTACCCTGTTTTTCAAGTCTCGTGAAACCTCAATTAGTTTTAATCAAAGTATTTAATCACTACATTTTCGCTGTGTAGTTGCTGGTTGCTATTTGCTGTTGGTGTGTTGCATGCAACATCAATTTTCAGAATCTAGCTGCGAGCCAGGAAACTGAAAATAGCTGGCCGTAAGAAAACAGAACAGGGCCAACAAACAACAATTGCCTGGCTCGCCAGCTATTTTACTGTTGTCTTTTCTTCTTGTTGTTGCTATTTGTTGTTGTTGTTGTATGCTGTTGTTGTTGTTGTTGTTCCTGGTGTTGCCTGTTCGTTCTTTCCCCACTCGATTTTTCTTTTACTTTTGCTATTTTAACATGTAACTAGGCTTTTATCGCTAAACGCTCGCATTTGCATATTGAATGCAATTCCCCTTTTATTCTTTTTCGAAACCCGAGGAAGTTAAACTTGTTTCTTGCGAGGGTAAGTATTTCTTATTTCTTATTTTTTTTTGGGACTGCAGATATTCTAGATCAGCTTTCATAACCGAACAAGATCGTACAAATGTCGGGGCTGTGCCATTATCTTTTTTCCTTTGAGCTGGGGATTAGCTAATGGGCAAAGAATGTTGAGAATGTCTTGAAAATAAATAGTTATTCGTTTCTAGAGTTTGGTTACTGAGATAATATAATGGATAATAAATGCTGAGACTGCAAGAACCTATATATCTCATAGAACATGACTCTCTAGCTCCACTGACCCTCCACTTATTGGTTACCCCACTCACATGTGCAGATTTCTAGACGCCGGCGTCGGTTGGGTCGGTGGCAATGGGAGGCTCTGCTGCTGGATGCCACCCGCCAGGGGAATCATCTGCGGCGCAGGCCCACCCACCGAACCACCGCCCATCAGCAAGGCCGCCTGCTGCTGTTGCTGCTGCTGCTGCTGCGATGTTGCGTTGTTGACGCCGCGAAGTTGCTGCTGTTGCAATTGCTGCTGTTGCTGTTGCTGCTGCTGCTGTTGTTGGTGCAACGACGGTTGCCGGCGGAAGCTGCCCGGTTGCTGTGGCGGCGGCGGCAACATGAACTGCTGCTGATGGTGGTGCACCGGGTGGGGCAGCGGCATCGCCTGCTGGTGGACGTGGTGGTGGTGGTGGTAGGCCGCATGGTTGATCGGCACATGGCAACTCTGGGCGGGCACATTCGATCGCTGCGACGAGGAGACATCCGGCAGGGCGAACCGCAGCTTCTGCCAGAACAACTTATCGCCCCACTGCAGATACGTGTTGGTCTTCAGATACAGACGCAGATCGGGATCGAGTTCCTTCTGCGGCACCTCGCCCAGCACGATCACAATCAATCGCCGGCGACGATCGCGCAGCACCGATTGATGGGCGGACTTGAACTCGAATCTGCACCACTCCGACTTGATGAAGTTCTCGCTGACCACCATTATGGTTCGCCGGCTGCTGTCGATCGCCTGGACAATGGTTTCCGGCACGTAGCCACCCACGGGAAAGTCCCGCTGGTGCAGGCAGAGCTTATAGCGATGCTCGCCCAATTCCAACATCGGTGCCAGTTCATCATTCACGAACAACTCATCCTTGGAGGAGTACGAAACGAAGGCGTCGAAGAGCTTCTCCCTCTCGTTCTTATCCACATCCTTTTGCGCGTTGTAGAAGAGCCGCACTCCGAACCTCGAGTGGCACCACACTCGCATCTCCTGCCGGAAAATGAACACCAGCAGAGTGCAGATCATCACGAAGATGAAGCAGGTCAAGATGGCCACCAGAATGGGTATGTAATCCTGTTTGGGCGGCTGATTCAAGATCATTTTGGTGGAGGTGGCATTGGAGGCATTCTCGCCACCCGCCTGCTCTGCGTAATTGAAGCTGTTGTCCAGGCCCAAAGGCAAGGTCTGACTGCACTGGACAACTGGCAGGGAACTAGCCTCTCCGGATCCCGGATGGATGACCATCTGCTGGGTGCTGTTTCCGCTGATCATGTCGCACTTCATCTTCTGCTTGTCCACCACATACTCGTGGCGGTTCATGTACTCCCTCACTTTGTCGATGAACTCGCAGTTGCAACTCCACGGATTTCCCGCCAATCGGAGCTCGTTCAAGTAACTCGGCAGGAAGTTCCAGACGGCGAACGAGGTGATGGCATTGTGATCCAATCGCAGGATTTTCAGATGGTACAGGTGCGTAAAGGTGAGCGTATCAATGGTGGCAATCGCATTGTGCTGCAGATAGAGCTCCTGCAGATTATCCAATCCCTGAAATTCGTTGCCATTGAGCGCCTTCAGCTGATTGCTCTGCAGTTGAAGCACCTCCAGTTCCAAGAGTCCGTAGAAAGTGCGATTGTGGAGCACCTCGATCCTCGAGTGGTTCAAGTGCAGCACCTTCAGCCGCTTGCGACCGATGAAAGCATGGCTCTGCAGCTCCCGGAAGTTGTTGCCATCCAGATACAGCTGAGTGGAGTCCATGGGAATGTGGGAGGGCAGAGTCTGCTCGTAGGAAGCCCGGCTGCAATCAACCACATTGGAGGTCCAGGACTGATCGTGGTAGCAGGAGCACCTATCCGGGCACTCCATTTTGCAGTCGCAGGCCTGAAAATCGCAGCAGTGGCACAGAGCAAAGCAATGCGAGGCGTATTTGCACAGGAAGTCATCCGATTTGGCTTCAATCAAAGAGACATGTGAGGATCCACGAGCGTAGGCCAAACGGCAGTGAATCTGGTCCAAGTCCATCAACTGCGGCTGAGTTCGCGACTCGCGATTCACCTTCTGCAGCCAATCCAAATTGCAATCGCACTCGTAGGCATTGTGACCAATGTAAAACTCCGGGATCTCGCGATCCTCGGCAATTGGGGACAAGCGAAGAGCATTGGGTTCCAAGGTGGTCAGGCGATTCCTCACCAAGTCGACCCTCGTCAAGTTGGGTTTCTTGAAGAACGTGTACGGTTGGATCTTGGAAATCTGGTTGTCGTTCAGGTAGAGCACCTCCACACTATTCGGAATCGAGCTGGCCGTAATCTCCGTCAGCAGATTGTAGCTGGCATCGAAGGTACTGAGACTCAGTTCACTCTCGATCTCGAAATAGTTGCCCAGCTGGGTAATCCTATTGGCCCGAACATCCAGCCACTGCAGACCGATGGGAATGTGCGAGTAGTCGAATTTCTCGAGGCGATTACCCGAGATATTCAGCCACACCAAGTTGGGCAGTTCGGTGAATAGGCCAGCGATGGACTTCAGCTGATTGCCATCCAGTCTGATGGCCTGAAGTTGGCTGTTCCTCTGCAGCGATCCCGCTTCAATGGACTTCAGTTTATTTTGGGACAGGTTGAGGATCTGCAGCGAGCTCATCCGATCGAAAACTCCTCGCCGGATGTGTGTGAGGGAGTTCTCCGTCATCCGGAGACCGTAGAGGTTCTCCAGCTGGGTGATGCTCGTGTTCTCGATCTGACCGATCATGTTCTCGCCCACATCGAGTGTCTTGAGCAGGGGAACATGGGCCAGGGCTTCGGGCACAGCCTGCAGCTTGTTGTCGTTCAAGTGGAGATCCTGCAGCTGGCTGCAGTTGATCAGGGATCTCTGGTCCAGCCGGGAAATCCTGTTGAAGTCCAGCGAGAGCACCAGCAGATTGTTGAGACCCTGCAGGGTGCGCTGTTCGATGGTCGAGATGCGATTGCGCGAGAGGATCAGTGTGTGCAAATTGGTGAGATCCGCGAAGATTCCACCCGGCAGCTGGTCGATGTAGTTATCCTCCAGCTTCAGGATCTGCAAACTGGCCAGAGGACGGAAGATGTGCGCCTCCAGGCGACTGATCTTGTTGGCCGACAAGTCCAGCATCATTAGCCGCTTGAGACCCACAAAAGTGGCGGCATTGATCCACTGGGAATTCAGCTCGTTGCTGGCCAAGTCCAGAACCAAGAGCTCAGCGAGTTCGCCAAAGATGCCGGGCGCCAAGACGTTGATGGAATTGTTTCGCAAATAAATCTCCTGCAGTTGTTTGGTCTCCGCAAACAACTCTGGCGGCAAGGAGGTCAATCGGTTGGCCGAAAGGTCCACAACCCTCAGCGAAAGAAGACCCTCAAAGGCGCGATCGGCCAGGAAGCTCATGCTGTTCTTGGCCATGTTCAGATGGGTGAGTCGCCCCAGAGCCGATAACATGGCCGTGGGCAGGCTGACCATCTTGTTGGCACTCAAATCCAGGCTCTGCAACGTGGATCCACAAACGCGAGCCTTTCGCGAACTCAGCGAGGCACTGAAGTAGAAGTTGCTGATGTCCTGGATCTTGTTGTACGAGGCATTCAGGTGCTGCAGGGACTTCAACGGGCACACCATGCCATCGGGAATGAGCCAGATGTTGTTCAGACTCAGATCCAATCGCTCCAGCTGGCGGAACTCCACGAAGCTGTTCGAGGCCATCTCCAGCGACATCGTTGACCAATCGCCGTTGTGCGTGCGAATGGTGAGGTTCCTCAGTTCCTGGAGACCGCGAAAAGAGCCATCCGTGAGGTTGCCCAGCTTGCAGTACTCGATGGTGAGATCCCTGAGCTCCACCAGCGATCTAAAGCTGTCAGGACTGAGGCTGCTCTGGAAGAACAGGGCATCGTTGCACTCCAAGCGCAGACGAACCGTGTTCTGTGGCTGGATCACGCTGAAGTTGGTGTTCTCCAGCTCCGAGTTGATGGTCCTCAGGTGGCAGACCAGTGTGATGTCGTGCTCCCCGCCGCCGGACCAGCGGCACTCGTCGGGCGCCTGGTACAACACCGTCTTGCTGAGGGCGGCCCCGAAAATGGGTATCACCCAGGTGGCAATCAGCACGTACAGCATGTGGGTGGTGGCCAGCATTTTGGATGGTTCCAAAACTTCGAATTGGGGCTTCGATTCTCGGTTGGTTTTTTTGTTTCAAAGGGGGTTATACGGGGAGGGCTTCTTTTGGTCTTTCACTGCTCGTTCTATTTCTCGCCCATTTTGCTTGTGTTTATTTGGGGGATTTTGTTGTTTGATTTTGTTTTGGTTTTATAGCGCAGCTTTGCACAATCGCCACTTTTCACAACACCACATCAACGCGATTTAATGCTTTATCTAAAACGATTTTTCTTGTTTCTTCTTTCCGCTGGCTATTACAATTTTCTTTTATATCTTTTGATTTCGGTTTAGGTGCTTTCGTTTCTCGATTTCTATATCTTTATTTCTCTGTTGTAGTTTCGCGTTGACCGTAATCCAAGTGGGGGGTGCGATAGCGCGATTGATAAATTGTGTTCTAAATTTTCTCGAGGCGATATTTTTTATTTTCTTCTTTTTTTTCTATCCGCTGAACGACAGACGCGCGTCCGCTCGGCTCGAAGTCAACTCAAAAACTGATCGCTCTCTGCGGCTTTCGACCAGCAGCAAGTGCCGCTGAAAAGCACTCAACAGGGTGACTGAGTATTTGAGTATCTGAGTGAGTACTGAGTATCGCAGGGAGTTTGAGTAAATGAGTAAGTGAGCACTCATTGAGCACGCACACAGAACCGAGGAACTAGAGCGAGATGCGATCGATGAGCGAGAGGGGCAGAGTAAACAAACTATGCAATGCAAACGCAAACGCAAACGCATCGCACGTAATGGCCCACAGTGCACAGTGGGTTGAATAGCATTGAATTGCACTCGGTCGGTGGGCAGGTAGAATTTGCATTGGATTTGCAACAAAGGACAGATGGGAAGCAAGGAAGTGAGATCGCGGGAGATGGGCAGGTGGAATTAGCCCATACAACATGTGGAATTTCAAATGGAGGACATTCCGAATCTGCAATATTTAAAGGTCAGGGATACGGGATATTAGTAAATCGATACGTAAGATCTGTTAAAAGATCATTTGCTCTGATAAAAAGAGTTCCCTAGGGAAGTAGATGGAATGTAGAAATATTGCATTAGAGAAAACTATTTGACAAGTGCGGAAAAATAATCCACAAAGGACATGATTCTTATCTAACGAAAATCTGTTTTCAAGGAAGTAAAAAATGAGACAAATATGAAAAAGCAGGAATCTTTTCCGGCACAATACTCCACAAAATAAGTTCTAATGGGTGTTTTATAATTATAAATAATTTTATTAAAAATATGTAAGAGTAAGGAGAAATTTTCGGTACTGATCTAAGAGATTCCTAAATTGCTTTTAACCTTCTACTTAAAATTCAAACTTGTTATTAAATAAGGACAAATGAAGCATGGAAGGAACCTGCACCAACTTCTTATACGACATCCGGTGTTAAGGTCGTAAATACAAATCGAATTAGTCCACACCTCAAATATTTGTCACGCCAAAAAGCAACCTTGATCTTCAAACATAAACTCTGTGGCTCAGCAGGTTCGCACCCACAGCTGGCACCTTGCCGCTTTGGGCCCACTGTGCGGCACCGTGGGCCTCCCCGCCGCTTCCCGCCTGTCGGTTCCGCTGAGCGTCAAAGCCGAGCAAACAATTTCAATTCCAATGAGACATTGACACTCGTCACACCGGTTAGACGAGTTCTACTCCAGCAAAAAGCCCAGCTGAGAGTTGAGCTCTCTTGGAAATTGAGTGGTTTTCCGTATTCAGCAGTTGAGATATATCAGCCATATATCTTCGAAGAGCGAGAGAGGGAAACGATTTGCTGAATCGATGGAATCGAGTGCAAGTGGCTGCTGATCTTCGGCTTTTCTTTGCTTGCCTTGCAGACAGCCACAAAAACCGAAAACGAGACGAAAAAAAAACTGGAGAATAATCATAAAAAATTATTGAAATCAATTGTTAATTCAGCCAATGTCAGTTTGATATAGGCGCACACTCACACACACGAGCTCACTTTAAAAAAAATTGACTGATTTTTCTTGATTTATGAGAGCGGCCGCAGCAGTTGGTGGGATTGGATCTGAGTTTGGGATTGTTGGTATTTCTTTAAGACCGGACCGGCTGGGCAATCGAGATTTGTCGGGGAGATCTCGAGCTCGGGGCTTACTCATTATGAGGTGGCGGTGGCTGAGCCGCAGATGGAGCCGACTTTAAGTTTAAGCGGGGTCCGACTTGGAAACTGAGTCTCTGAGTCCAAGCCACCAGTCCGAATCTGATGTATTTTTTCGCATGATCGGGCTGCCCATATGTTGTAACCGCACTTTCAAACTTTCCCGAAAACAAAACAACGAGCAAAACAGATTGCTACTGGTGGTTATATAGAACACAAAAACAGCTGGGTTCCGAAAAATAAATACTTCATGTGTTCTTTGGATAAAGAAAATCTTACAAGTTTAGGAATTTCAATCGAATAATTTTTTTAAGTTTTCTTTTAGGAAATAAAGATTATCTTGTGAAATAAAAAACCTTTAGATGTTTTTAGTAAAAAGTTCGGAACACTTAAATATATAATTTAACTAAATGGTGTTATAAAAGACACACCAAAAATGCACACAACTTAAGATATATTTCTTTAAACACAAGTTGAACGAATTATCGCAATCATTGTGTTTATTTCGTGTGCAATTAATTTTGAGTCACTCAAGGTAAGGGAGCGCTGTGGTGGTGCCTTCTATGTTATTATCTCAAAAATAACCGCTCAAACTGACAAATAAAACCTCGCCAGCTCCAGATGTGTAGTAACTAAACCCTTGATTTGCACTGCTATTATTTCGATCGCAACTGTATACGAGCGGTATAGAGTATAGCGGTCCGTGCGAGTTGTAGTTGTACCTGTCGACGCCCGTTGAGCCGACAGGTGCTGATTAACCAAACACATCCCAAGCGATGCGTATCAGTCAGCCAGTTAGCCAAGCAGCTTGTTTGGACTGGATGGGATGGGATGGGATGGTTTCGGGATGCCATGGCTTGGTTTTTGAGATGGATCTCTCCCTTTCGCGGTGCTCCGTTCTCCGTTCTCCGTTCTCAGGAAAACCCACACCCAAGCCTCCGTCTGAGCAAACTGCAGGTAGCCTACAAATTGTGTTGAAAGTTGACCGTGCAAACATCGTCTTTCGGTGCCCCTCTCACCTCATCTCGCTCAGCCTCGTCTCACCTCTCCTCGAAGTCGCTCTTATCCTGATTCCTCAGGTAAACAGATTGGTGCTGTTGCTGCGATATCTTTGGCTAGGATTTTGTTACAATCCTCGCTCAATTGTTTGTTCCTGCCTTGTACCTTTCTTTCTTTCTCCGCTTTTATGATTTTCTTTATCGCCCAATCGATCGATCAGGCCAGTTGGTGTAAGCCAGGAAGTGCCTGGGTATAGAAAGAATTGGCTTAGACCCAAGGATTGCACAATATGTTGCAGGATCGGTGAGGAACACTCAGGAAAATTGTGTGTCATGGTGATAAATTATTATTAATCTTGCTCTGTTTATTTTTTTCTGTGATGATGGAAAAAATAATATTAATTGATATTCCTATACAATTTATTGACCAAAAATGAAAATCTGGTACCAAAACAGTTTATAAATTATGACTAGTTTTATTAAAAAAATTTATACATATATTTTTTTATATTAAATAGATGTTAATACAATATGTATTATTTGTAAATTATTCACATACAGATTTATTCTATTAATCAATTTAGACTCAAGTAGTAAAAGTTATCTGTTGTGACTTAGACTTTCTAATATCTTTACAAAGTAGTATCATCTTTTCGCGAAGTGTAAGGAACAGTTTGGTCTACTTTAGAGATCCGTAACCGTATATGAGGGGCGGTCCTGCCAGCATTGATTCGATTTGATTAGATTAGTTGAGTGAACGACGAATGCGGAGTTGGGGGCAACATTTCCCTACGATGACTGATCGTTCTCGATTCTCTTTCATTTCCATTTGCGCAAATTATTTTTCTTTGTAATCGTTTCGCTTGTCTTGGGTTGCCAAAGACGTGTACGCCCGAGTATCTGTAACTTGTGGGTGCTGGGCGCTTTATTGCTCATTGGGTCACAGTCACATGAGTCATGGGCACCGATTCTTTTGTAGATACCCGTACAATATTTTTTTTTCCATTTTCCGCCAGCTGCCGGTTGCGAAAAAATTTCGTTTGTTGTGTTTATTTTGGCTTGTAATTGGAATTGCTTTTTTATTCGTCCGGAGACAATGACCGCTTTGAGGGACGCCCTCGGCGAATGGAGAAAGGAAACCCTTGAGAGTGGCTACCAAATGGAATAGACAGGGATTAGGATATTGAATTCATCCTTTGAAATCGCTTGGGAAGATCTGTCTTGAGGAACTTCCTGTTTTGCTTACATTATTCGGGTTTTTTAAGGATCTTTGTGATGGCTTGGCAGATTAGGGAAACAGGTGGCTGACCTTGTTTAAAATTGCCAATATTTAGGTAAGCTTAGCTTAGGCAGGAAAGGGTATAGGAGCTCTTTGGAAGAGGTAAGTATAACCCATATCAAATAAGTTCTGAAAATCTTATGATTTAATTTATTACCTAAACTCTTTATTCAAGATCTTGTAATTAAAAAGAAAAATTCGGAATAAGTAGAATTTGCAAACAACATAGTTCTTAAACTTAATTTCTTCATACAGCTTTATTCCCTTTAAAGATCCCCAATCAACCCAATCTGTAAATTTCCATTACTCAACCGAAGAAATCCCATCTGTATAGAAGTCGTACCGCTTCCCAGGGCGTTGCAATTAAATTCCCGGGCGATGACATGTCACGGCAATCGACGATGGAATCCGTCAAGTGTCAGCGGCGGTGAAAAGAACCGACGGACCGAGAGCGAGTCCCGCTTACAAATCAGCTCCGATATGGCTGAGTCCCTCCATCGGGTTCGGGTTCGGGCTCGGACTCAAGTCGAAAATATGTTGAATAAGTTGAATAAGTTGCCATTGTTCTTAATTATAACGCGTTGTCATGTGAGCTTGCCATTCATTCATTCAGTCCCGCACTCAATTCACTCGACTTCACTCCGTCCAGCCGTCCATCCATCCAGCCATCCATCTCAGCTGTTCTTTACGGCTTGACGCCTAATAAAAATTAATTTAATAATCTCCAACTGTGTGGGAACGAGACGGGTGACAGAGCGAAAGAGAAAGAGATAGATTGCGAGATAGTGTGGGTGAGCAGTTAACGCTTATGTAAACAGAGCCACCGAGGATGTGTGGATATCGCGTCGTATCTGCTGTGCAAAACATATTAATTAGCATTTCCAATTTCGTATGCATATCTCTGCCAACTATCTCGTGATGCAACGCTGCACACACAAACGAAGTTCCCCGTCTTAACCCCTTGAAGGCCCCCGCTCTGAACAAACCACCCGAAGGCCCCCGATTAACCCCCCTTGGGCCCATTGGAGCATTCGCGACGGTCAGCAGTGTTTTTTCTGCTTTTTCCGTTCGGTTTCTTCATTTTTTGCAGCCACTAAAGAACTTTGGCATTGCGTCT